GGCTGGCAGCTGGTCACGGAACTGGTACAAAAGATTTTCAACCGCACTGTTCCTGAGGATGACATGAAAACACAGTCATATACACAGGTTCACGTGGGTTATAGTAAAACTATTATTTTTATTTTTATTGATAGAAAGGTAAAGATTCTGGTTTCCAGAGTGTCTGTAAAATGAACATGGGATTAAAACAGGACGTCAGGATCCTTTCTGAACTACAAGCTCATTTAAAGCACAGAAATCTAAAATCTACATTATTAGATTAGACAGTTATCACTCAAGTGTTTGTTTGGTTTGTTGTTGTTGTTTTTTTTTGACCAGTACAATGTCAGGCATTTATAGTCCGGTACAATCCAGCCAGCATGTCTGTGTGGGTCTAAAATGGATGTAGGCATGAACAGAAATATGGGCCACATGTGACCAAATCTATAAGGGTGTCACTTGTCCAACACACTGTGCACACACTGGCTGGGAGTTAATATGCAGTCAAAAATTACACGGACTAATGTCAGGAGTGACTCGTTAACTTTTTTACCTTGAACTGTTGGTCTGAGCGACACCTTCTCCAAACCAGACGCATTAACACCAGTCAGACGACCACTGCATTATTTTCTCATCTTCCTGTCAGTGTTGTTTTGATGTAAAGTTCTTTTCACTGAATCGGTGAGTAATTCTAGGTGTAATGATTTGATATGTGATGTTTAACGACACTGTGCAAGTTTGAATGACAATAAAATCAAGTGTGAAAATATTTCCGGTAAATCCCAAACTCATTGATTCAATAAAATTCCTCGTGTCTTTTTAGTACAACATTTATTGATTCAACAAAATTCCTCGTGTCTTTTTAGTACAACTACAGAGACAATTTTAGAATTTAACTCAAAATTCATCCAATAATAAACAGGCAATATAGATATATATGTATATATATATAATGTATATAGGTATCAACATATACATATATATCTATATATAGATATATTTAGATATATATACCTCAACTTGATTTTTTGTTGAGTTTGATGATCAATGGTCGACTTGATATATATATAAATATAGATATATACATATATTTTTATATATATATACACAGTACACTATGTGTGTGTATATTTGTGTGTATATATGAAAAAATGTGCACCTATGCAGACATATATAAATATATATTAAGCACAGTCGTGTTAATTTGATATACAGTTTTCATTAGACATTCCATAGAGATACATGCATAAGATAAAATTATCATCTTGGAGGGACCCAACGTAAAGACACTAAAAAATGCTAACCATGGTAAAGAAACTAAACATAAATTTGGGTCATATATTTAATCCAACTTCATCTTGGTAAAAAAAAGAAAAATACTGTATGAGAAAAGATTTGTTTACAAAACTGTGACTAACACATACTCCTAGGTGCTAAAAAAAAATCACCATTTATGTCAAGCTTTTCAAATATTATCTTTAGGCGGATTACGTTTTTTTGTTCTGCATCATTGAAATTTGCAGGCAATTTACATCATTTAATTGCCCCAATTTCTCATCTCTTAATACAATATGTAATCTTTTTTTTAACAAACTCAATATGAGTTTCCCTGGTTATTTTTTAATGGCGTCTCCTTCTGCTTGGCCTCAAAGAACATGGGGGAGCTCACCGTGTCCACAGCTGTCGTCGTCACCTCTGCTGTCCTCAGGCTGAACATCTGGGACATTACAGATTCTGAAATAAATAAATAAAACATCCAGTAAATAGTAGACAAAACTGGCAGATAGAAAAGCACGGTTAAAAAGAGAGTTGTTGGCTGAGGTACCGTGTGACGTTTCTGTCTGGCTGAGTGACTGCATTGACGGAGCCACCGAGGACAAGGTTGAAAAAAAGCGAGACCTGTCAGAAATATAATCACAGTAAATCCAATGTTTTATCGATTCTCTGATGACACACACACGTTCTGGCAATAAAAGTTACAGCAAGTGTCGCTTAAGACTAGAGGCAAAGTTCACAAAAAATAGATGAAGAGAAGGACGCAGGGAGGTTTGAATTTATTTATTTATTTATTTTAAAGGTTGACAATATGGTAGATAATGTGGTTGGAAATACAGCGACACTCCCTTAAAGAACCGACGCAAGATAAGAGGGAGAGTTCAGGCTCAGCAGGTCGGCGATGAAGTTGAAGAGAAGCTGCCTGATGGGAGACAAAGTTTGCCATCTGGTGGTCAGCATTTACTATTGACTGAATACATATTAATGACACTTAATTATTATTATTTATTTATCAAGTCAATATTGAATTGACTATATTTGACAATTTCGTTGTCAATTTAATTAAAAAGCAGCATTTATCCTTCTATTCGCTGCCTAAATTGATATTCGTGTCTCGTGTGTTCCACTAGAGGGAACCAAAGGGACATAGTTTGATTGAAGAGATTAATTCCTTACGGGTGATAAATGGATTAAATCAGTTACGTGGGTCTTTTTTTTTTTACATTGTTAATTTTCAATAGAAAAAAACATATTAACAAAAGACAACATGGACAATTATATAAAGGCAGGATTATTTATTCATCTTAATTGGGTTTACTGCTCGAGGCTGTACAGATGACGCAGCAAACAATGCTCAGAGGACAAACACAGACCTGGCCCTGAAAAATCTGGGTCACTTTTTATGCTGTGTGAATGAAGACAAAGCTTCACAGCTGTCACTCATTTCACTCAGCGTGTGTTTCTGAGATAAGGAGGGGGTGAGGGGGGGGCAGCAGGTGTACTTGTGTATGTTCCCTGTCTGTATGTGAGCTGGGGGGGTTAATTGGGGGCGCTTGTCACAGGAGGAGACACGTTGAACAGCACCGAGGAAGCTGACACCGACACCGCCTCCTGACATGTCCTGTCTGTCAGCTCGCTTTACGCCCCGCTGCAGACGGCGACGCCATGACACTCTCTCCACAGTGTATCAATTAGGTGACATGGAGGAGGCAGACACCCGTGTGTTTCCCCCGCTCATTGTCTCAGGCTCAGGGAACCGCCTCTGGAGCATGTGCATAAATTCACATGGTTACGCATTCGATTGGCCCCACGTGTTGCCCTCGGGCTCTGGTTAATAATATATTACATATATATAAAAAGGAATATTATTACAGGGTAAAAAAATCAAAATAAAACATTTGCGGAACAGCAAAGTAGTTCAAGGATCATGGATTTTAAAAAAAAAGAAGTAATATAAGAGTAGTAGTAAGTAAGTAGTAGTAAGAGTGTCCACCAGGGGACGACCTCTGACTACAGGTGGGACTGTTAAAGCTCCGCTCTACCGTTACCGTTGCTTCTTTTTTGTGATGTTAAGCAAATATATAATAAACTGGACTACGGATTAAAAAAAAAAAAAAGTTAAATGGGTTCTCAATAATGGCTTGGGGCCCCACTTGGCCCATAAAACCTCAACATCTGGACAGTAACTTGAAGTCAATAATAATTACATTTTTACTGAATTGAATTTTTATATATATATACTATATATATAATATGTAATATATATATCATATATATTATATATATATATATATATATATAAACCTCCCAAAAGTTACCGGAGAGAAACACCAGAGTCCAGACACTCTATGAACTGGGCGATGAGGGAGAGAGGGAAAACTCAGGACCGCAGGTGTTAAAAATATAATGAAAATATATGAATACAGCCTCCGTCCCATGTGATATATCTATAAAAACACGGGCAGTTTTACGCGGCCACATGCAGCAGCAGGACGCCCCAGAGGACGAGGCTGGGAAGAATGGATGTGCTGCTGATGACAGCACGTCACTGAGACGGGAGAAGAAACAACAAATTGAAAATGCTTGTGTGTGTGTGTGTGTGTATGTGTGTGTGTGTTTACTACAAGTGTAGTCTACATATTAATGTGTCTCTGCCTCTTCTGGGTTTTAAAAAGTGGAGTCTAATATCTGCCAAAAACCATTAAAAACAGCACCATGAATAAATATTTTGTTTTCTATCCCAATTTTACTGTCACGCAGGAGCAGTCAGATTTTGATGAGACTGTTTTTTGTTTTGGTTTTTTTTTTATGTCGTTGCTTTAACGGATCTTCCCTCTGTTGTGTTTGTTCATTGTTCTGTCTGACAGGTCGTTGACGAGCCTTATTTTAAACATGAGATTCATGTTGACTCAAAGAAGCTGACAGCGTGTCATTCATGCTCCCTCACTCCTGTCACTTCACTCTAGAACAAAATGCAGCCTTTTAGGACGCCGGCGGGAAATCAGCCTGTAATGTTCGATATTGCACGGAAGGATGCTGCGTGTTAGGAAATATGACCCAGGGGGCACAGGCACCTGCGTGTGGGTTTGTGGGGGGGGGGGGGGTTGTTAACCTTTGGGGCTGTTTTAATAGAAAACCCCAAACTTATCGGGACCAATAGTCGTCGAGCAGAAACAGCCAGGATGTGAGTTTAAAATGTGGGTAAGATTTAAATTTTAGTTTCAAATAAAAGTTAGATTAAGACTAGTAGTCATAAAAACGAAGACATTTGTACCAACCTGTCTGTGTGTGTGTGTTTATGTGTGTGTGTGAATCTTGACGGTTGTGTTTGCATCATTAATGCCACACCACTGAACACATTGTGCTGCTGTTTTTTTTTCCAGGCTTGAATACATTAACACCTTGGTTTATCACTGTGGGAGTGTGTCTACACACACACACACACACACCGCACAGTTGTTCATGTTTTTTAATGCAGATTCATTTTTTGTTTCTATAAGGTGTTACCCTCCCCCAGCCTCCTTCACCCACACCCCCGCCCAAAAGAATCTACTATTGAGTATTTGGGGTTTTTCTGACTCCAGTCACTAAGTTATTATTTGATTTATTTCTTCTTCTGTTAAAGTACAAAGATGTATCTGGTTATATGGTCACAGAAACTGTATTTTACATTAATGAAAATTAGGACTGTCAAACAATCACGTTTGGTCTGATTAATCACAGGGCAGCTATGGATTAATCAGGATTAATCGTCAATAATCCAGATGAATCAATTCTGCATACAACCAAAAAAAAAACCTCAGTTTTTGCAAAGGCAGAAAGACACGACAGCAGGGAGATGTGTGTGTTTTACACCTGTTATTATTTGTGAATGATTCAAACGATGGAATTATTATTGCTGAAAAATATTACAGACAATCATACGAACGTCTGGCTTTATTTTTTAAATTTAGCTTCATTCACGTTCATTTTTGACAGCCCTCAAAAAATGCTCATGTTGCACAGTACTAGTAACAATGTTTTGAGCATGCTCACAGCCCCAAAAACATGCTCAGTAGTGGATTAGGTCTCTGTATGTGGACCTCTCGATGGACTGGCAAACTGTCTGGGGTGGACCCCACCCTCACCCGTACAGCGCCCCCTCAGCTCAAAGTACTTAGCATCAAAGTGTTTTTTTATAAATATTTCCCCCCTCTCTCACATGATATTAATTTTGTTGTGTTTTTTTTATAAATATCTCCCCCCTCTCTCACATGATATTATTTAAAAATATTTAAAAAGAATTATCTTGATTACCTTATCTTGAGTTGCAGGAGTAACTGTGGTCTCTATTTGTTTGAAAATCGGTTCCTTATCTTGAGTTGCAGGAGTTACTGTGGTCTCTATTTGTTTGAAAATCGATCGTATATTATTGATGTTCAAACAACAGTGAGTGTTTGAAACTCTCAAACTATTTTTCCATTCCTTTTTTTTCTGTATCCCCCCGTCTTTGATGGTAGTTTTTTTTTTCCATCTTTTCCACCTCCAGCCTCGCTGCCCTGGCCACTCAACAGGGAGACCTGCGTGAAGTTCTGCCCTTTTCATGGTTTGACAGCACTGAAAGAGGCTGCTGTCTGCCCCAATACCATCAGCCTTTGTGGGCAGTGTGCTGAGCAGTGGGAGCCTCAGTCACCTGTGGACCTACAGAGGAGCCACAGTCAGAACGGAGCTGAGGCGCCGCTTTGGAAACGATGTCGATTGTTCCGTAGGTCTGTTTCTACGACAACAAATCGACGTCTGAGGTTGCTTTAGAATGATAAGAAAACTGATTGTCCTCATATATGAAAATATTCTGCCTATGGAGACATTTGGCAGACAGGACCCCCAGGACCCCCGGGACCCCCTGGTATTTCATTAAAGCTCAACACAACTGTAAGCCTTCATTTCACTCTCCAAAATAGTCTCCCGGAGATCCTTAAGGGCAGGATTAATTTCAGGTTTCTGTTCCAGAAGAGGAAGCAACACCTCCCTCCCTCCTCCCCTCCCTTTCTCTCTCTCTCCTCGTTCTTCAGAGGATCCTACAGCTGTGATTGTGGCCCTGAGCAGAAACCATTTAAATAAAATATAGACCATAGGCCGACCGACCTGCGTCCAGAGAGTCTGCAGGAAAGATCAAGGACGGACGGAGCTTTGTCTCCTCAGCCTTTGTAGGCAGCAGCAGGGAAACACTTTCATCACCGCCGTCGACGGTCTGCTGAGCTGTAAACAAGACTCCACATGATAGAAAGTATTGTTTTAATTTTACTTATTTTTACTTCTTATTGGTAAGAAATTAAATATTTATTACCATGATTGGTGATGAATCCATCCTTATTTTTCACTATGACGTTACTTCCTTGTTTATTCATCAGCGCTCTAGTGTGAGGCAGGAAATTTGAATTTGAATTAGAGTGAACTTTTTCAAATTCCTAATATCCATTTAAAAAAATGTAACACAGTGGGTTTCATAGCTTTTACACATTTTACCACATCATCATTCTGTACCGAAGTAGACTGAAACTACACACACGTAAAGTAAAAAATATGAGCCGTATTTACCAACAAAGACTCACCTAATCATTTAAGAATCACATTATACCACTTGC